CTACCAAGGAGGCCAGTGAGAGCCCAGTATCTGAAGGAACCACAAGCTTTCCTCTGCTCTCGTTGAAGGAGCTGGACCCAGGTGAAGCAGAGGACTGGCCTGGGTTGCCAGGCTCCCAGACAACCTGGATGGACTATTGACAAGGCCCGAGGAGCAGAAACAAGGAAGCCCCAAGGGCTGGTCCAGAACCCAGGTATAGCCACGGGGGGAGTTTGGAAGTAGCCCAGGGAACTCAACTGTTGGTTGAGTCAGAGCTAAGGCAGCATTGCAGAGCAGCTCTCCGCTGACCCAGTAGCAGAAGGCTCTGCTGCTACCAGGGCCCTGGGCTGGGACGTAGTGGAATGGGTGGGCCTGCATCCCCCCGGACACCCCACTCTTGGGTGGCAGACTCCCCCTTTGTCTGTGACCGAATAACAGCCTGTACCTACTGTTGCCACGCCCTGAGCAAGGGCTTGGCTCTGAGCTGTTTGTTTATTTATTGCCTGCCCCAAACTGAGGCCGGACCTTTAGACTGTTTATTTCCTACCCACCCTGAACTGAGGGCAAGCTTTTGGACTCTTAGTTGCAGCTCGCCCAGTGAAAGGGACTATGCTTGGGACCTCTGCCACCGCTAATTCCTCATCTGACAACACAGCACATAGTGGGTCGGAGTGGCCGCCCAATGACCACGAGGGGGAGCCGCCCTTCCCTGAGCGTAACCGGCTTACAACCACCATCATTAGATATTTGGTTGTGTCGTTGATCTGGTTGGTGACTCTCATACCTCTTGTAGTAAATGAGTCTGGTGTTGGGGAATTCAAGGAGTCTGTAGCAGTTTCAAAACACTTAGGTTGCAGTCTTAAGACATTGTACTTAGGGTGGAGGTGGGTTAAGCCGTAATTCCTTTAAGTGATGTTGTAGTGGGAAATCAGACCATCATTAGATATTTGGTTGTGTCGTTGATCTGGTTGGTGACTCTCATACCTCTTGTAGTAAATGAGTCTGGTGTTGGGGAATTCAAGGAGTCTGTAGCAGTTTCAAAACACTTAGGTTGCAGTCTTAAGACATTGTACTTAGGGTGGAGGTGGGTTAAGCCGTAATTCCTTTAAGTGATGTTGTAGTGGGAAATCAGACAGGCCGTAAGGACCAACAGTTAATGTAGGGGCG